CAATATCCGCCTTAATTTATCATGTAATGTTGATTGCAGGATTCTACCAATCGTTAGGTTAGATTAGTATCTCTTGTACTGAGTAACCTTTCAATAAAAGCATTTATTATTATTAAACACAATGCCAAATCTGGCTAACGAGTGACAGAAAATAATCAGAGTATCAATTTATTTGGCTATGAACGTATATTTCCAAAATATATTTCAAAATAACATCAACGGTAGATGGCAAAGTGAATTCCAGCCCCCTTAACAGATTCTTGGGGAGTAATAAAACAACCCACTCTAGGTGGTGGTAAATGACCTGATGATCTAATACCAATTAAAGCATACAAGAAAGGTACGTACTCCTCAAAAAGGTTTGGCGAAACCCAATCTCATACATAAATCAGTAAAATATCTCGTATAGCCAAGCGACTCCAAAAGCACTTGGTTTTAACCGAGCAAAGTCCAAGTGGATATTGGACTCCAAAAATGTATCTTCAGTAGGAAGACTAAAATTTCGCCATACTGACTGGAAAGGTACTGAAGTTTCAGACTCCCATGCAACTTGTCGTATGGCGTATTTTAGATTTTGCCAACACTGAATACCTGGATTGTTAGAAATATTCAGAGTACTGGCTACGTCTACCCAATTCCAAGATATTCATAACCCTATCGTAGAATGTCACTAAACAGTTGTTGGACTACAGCGTGTAGAGACTCGTTCAGATCTGTTCAGAACAGCAGAGCCAGTCACCTTCGTTGAGAATCCGTAGTTGTTTGGTGGAGTTTGAGTAGACCCACTTACTTTGGACCCATCCCAACCTAGTTCTTCAAAAATGAAATTGATTCAGAGCATTATTTCGTTATCCCCGAAAATGTTACAACCCTGTCAAAGGCGTCCTGATCGTTGGGACGCCCTTTATGAAATATCTGTTAAATATTTTACAGTATTTTACATTCGTAACCGCTCTTCCTGTAATTCGTCTCACCTCGGCGAGCAATTTTTGGCGAACGTTATTAAATTGAGTCATGGCGAATAAAGGGTCGTTCCAGACTCGTCCATCACTTTCCACATCGATGATTACGAGCCATTCCCCAAAGTCTAAATTAATTTGACCCGTTGTTCGGATGAGTTATGGGCTCGTATCCATTAGGTGGCATATTGCGAGGCGATTGCAACGCTTTGGCGGCCTAATCGTAATTAGGAAACCGAGCAGTCACTCTATGTTGTGGAGGCGGAATGTAATTAATAAAGAATGTACCCACCACAGATCCTAGTTATGATCGTTCGAATGGACGAGAATACTAAAATATTGAAATTAATTAAGATGCGCCCTGGAAAGCTGGAACGGCGACCATTTTATTGCTAATTAGTTCGTGCTACGGCTACGGAGGCGGAGCGGATTGCTTGAATCTCTGGAGGAAACTGCGTAATGAATGAATGGAGGTTCTGGAGGTTTTTGTCGTCTCATTTTGATTATTTCCATCCCGACTGCATTTAAACGAGTATTATTTCTTGTTAGAGAAAAAAATACTTGGAAATAGCTGTGAATTAAGTAGTATACATATATACCGATGGGAGTGGTTTGTTTCACTCATTCAATCCACCGTCAGGTGATACGATGGTTCAAGCCGCGAAGCCGAATAATTGACTTTAACTGCCTGTTGTCCAACCCGTGCAACGAATCGCACGTTAAAAGGTTAGACCCCAATAATCCTCAGCTCGCTGGTCTTTTTACATCTCCCGTAAGGCTGGGCACACCCAGGTCAAAACGTTTTAGTTGGCAACGACGAAGTACATTTCACTGTGTCGCAGATGAAGCGTGACCAATGTAATATCTAGGCCATGCATAGATTAGTTCATTAATGACATTTCACATGATTTTCGTTCGCCTTCATCAAAAATTATAATAGAGGTGTCATTCGGTTTGTAATTTCCGATTTGAACCGAGGTGAACTAATAAATAGTTTCAAAGTTATAAGTTATAAAGTATTGAGTTGAGTGAGAGGCAGTGAGAATGCTCTGTGCAACATTGAATTGTAGGCTGCTAATTTATGACTTTCGGGATGGAAAGAATCGCTTGGGATGGTGATGTCTGTATAGCTAGGTTTTCTGAAAAGAGAATTAGCAGCCTACAATTCAATGTTGCATAGAGCATTCTCACTGCCTTTGTCTGCAGACAATCTAGCTAGGGAAATTGATATGACTACACAGATAGGTCATAATAATAGTTTCAACGCAGATACTATTCAGAAGTTAGGAAACAAAGCCGGAAATTCACTTACCTGTGGCATGCAACCACAAGTTTCCGAATCTAAAAGATACGGAAATTCTGCACTATGCAAAGAGGGTTGCAAACTCAATCATTTAGAATCCTTGGAAATTCACAAGCATAAACATTGCGGGTGCAACCTGTTAAATGACCAAATCGATTTAATTTACTCTCCGGTTTTTAAAATGGCACATTCGCATTGTGAACTGTAAATTTAGGTATACTCAATCAAGTACCTGAATGGTATATATTGCCGAATGTAATGAATCATTGTTAGTTTATTGTATAAGTTTGAGAATGTCCATATAGGACGAAACTGTAGTAACGTTAGTTACAAATAAAAGTGGTAAAAAACATTGAAATTTTCATTTCTCTTTTCATTATGATCTCCTACCACGTAGTAACGGCTACATCCATCAATTTATTTCGGTATATATTTGGTGAGTAGTTAAATAGAGAAAAATCCCTTGGCAAACATTTTGTATTGCATTTTTCTCTTAATTATTCCTCAATTGACTTGCATTTTCTCCGCAATTGAAGAGATTCATGCTTGTAGCCCTTACTATGTGGTAGGAAATCATTTTGAAATCATATCGTATTCGTTTGAAAATGTCTTTGTAGAACGAAACTGCAGTAACGTCAGTTAGAAATACGAGTGGTAAAACACATAAGAGAAGTTTTATTTCTCATTTTTCACTGAATTGAAGGTTTACATAAAATCAATTTTTGGAACTTGAAGGCTTCAAACAAGATCTTCGCTGGAAAAATATTTTCCATTTATTTATGAACGACATTCAAAGATATTGAAACAATTAAAATCATGAGTGAAACATTGAACAATGTTTTTAATAGTTCAAATGTTTGTTTATTGATAAAAGCTATGTTAATATATTTTTTTAGTTTACAATTTTAGTGTTCAGAAATTGTAATGAACAAATACGAAGGCTGTGTCAAATAACGTATTGCAATAATTAAAATACATGGGCATTTTTATGATTTTGTATACCTATAACAAAGCTTTTTTATTTACAGTATCTTTAAATGGAGATACGATTGCTCAGATTGCAAACCAAAATTATGTATAAAAACAAAAAGGTGTATATCCCAATTTAAACTCAGAACGCCAAAATTATAGACAAAATATAATAATATTTATGACACCTTGTGGATCCTAGCTTTCACTTCATTCCTGAGGTAAAGGCATCATATTATATAGAAATTCCCCTAATCATTTGTTTAATTCATTGATGGATTATGGGCTTTTATCAGATATTTTCTGTACCTAAACCTCTGGATATTAACAAAGCAATATGTCAAACGGTCAAAGTAGTCGTGTGATTTTACACTATTAGACATATCTGCAAAGAGTACCTACTTATGGCTCTGGTATAATTTCCTTTGGAATTATCATCATATTATCATTATCACCTGGTGTTGAAGTTTCGAAGGATGTCTAACCATGATATCTTTCAATTCTATTATAAATTTTTTTCATGTGATTTTAAAAATCACCTATTTCAAAAAATTCATAGTCTATAATTATTGTATCTTATATTCTACAGATATATATATATATATCCATGTTACATTTGGCATGTGGCAAATCTAATATTACACAAACCATCGACTAATTATTCACTCTATATTCAGTACTATATTTCCGTGTCATCTTTGTAGGAAGTCAAATTACTCCAAGTGATAAAATCAAAATTGCCAGTTACTTTATATATTATTATTACAAAATAATGAAAATGCAGTCTGAATAATGAATCAAACCTTTTAGTTTTTATTGCTATGAACCTGATTATTTTTTCACAGAGAAACATTCTTTCAAGAATCATATTTGAATCATTTCACTTTATTATTTTCTATAAACAGAATGTATACCATTTCCTTCATTTCTTTATGCGAGTATAACTTTTCAGAAATTCTTTATATATTCTTTATGATACCTTCAGATCAAGATTGTTTCAAATTTGATAGTCTCATTTTTAGTTTTCTCAAAATCACTGATGTTTGGTTCATACGTTTCTCTGAAAATGTTCATAGCTCATTGGCACTCCACTATGTCCGAAAATGTTGCAAAAATATCAAATTAACTGAAAAAATTGAGAATAGATCAGCTTTCGACTTTTATAGAGCATGTCCAATGTCTGAAGTGCCAATATGTTTTCAAAATGAGTAATTTTATGTCATAGCAGTTCCAAATTTCTCCATCATCAGTGAACTGAAAATGTATTACTTCTGCTTGGAATTACTATGAAACTTGATATTGAACGAAATAGATAATTTTTTCTAGAATCATCTCTTCATGTATAAATGAAATTTATAGTATTTTGGTTGAAATTTATTGATTTTATCGAATGTGGTCGATACTTTGAAAAGTGCCACATTTGTCATTGAATTTGTACCTGTACACAAATTTCCGAATTAAATTCACATTGTGAGTCATACCTGCTTTTGAATAAATCTTATCAAATTTATTACTTGCAGATGGTTCCTACTTATACCTAAATGTTTCATTATACTGCGGATACACTTTTTGTAACCAACGAGTTAATTTTTTTCACCACAGTTTTGCACCCGCTTCGAACATAAGTAGGCACTTCAGATTAAGTCAGTTTACTGGATATGATAAAATCGATCTATTTTCCATTTTTTCCCTTCCGGCCTTTTTGTTGATAGTCTCATCCTGGTGGAGTGTCAATAAATTTTAATCCTATAGTAGTCTTCTCTTTTCAGCTGCACCGCTTGTCCACGTTTCTCATCCATATAGCGGAATGATGATTGATACCGTTGACGGTAAGTGATCTTCATTTATTTTCCACCGCTAACCATCTCCATCTTGTTTCTTTCATCCCCTTCCGCGTTTCTGAAAAATCAAATGATCTCTGACAAGTTTGAATTTTATCTCTCAGTTTCTTTTCAATATATTAGTTCCAAGTATATTAATTCCGTCATCGAAATACTTATTTTCCAAACTCATAATGCAACTAACATTTCGAAAATCTTCAGTTTTCAGACACACTCCTTAAAACTTGATTAATTTTCGTACAAACCATGAGTAAACTTTCAACTTATTGAAGAGGCCCACTATTTTTCAAGTTAATCAGATATAAAAATGACAGTGATACCTTTGACAGATATGAAATCATGAATAAACGTCACATAGTTGAGACTAAGTGGACTAAACAAAAGACAAATCATGTTTCTCGAACGGCATGACACGTCAACAATAATAGTAATACTCCACGAAAACATTAATAATGAAACTATTTTGTTGATGGTAACGATAAAAGCCTTTTTTCATAGGATGCAGCTAGCTCAGCATATAACAATATCTTCTCAGATTAGGTGAATAAATTAATAGAAAAGAAACATCTGAAGCATTAGGTACCAAATCAGTCTTATATACTCAACTAACTTATTTTGAATGTTCATGGCAAAATTGAAATATGAAATATACATTTCTTGGGTTCTATTGAAAGCTCTTGTCCCACACAAGGAGTAAAATAGAGTCTCTTGACGCCCGTTTCACGAACTACGTGCATCATCAGATGCTAACCAAGTCAGCAACATCAGACTTTTTTAATTCATATTTTGATTTCCGAAACAAATATATAATAAAAAAATTCAACTAAAACAATAAATATCTGTTCTTATTTTCATGATTCGAGATGAACTTCCATGTGAAGAGTAGACGAAGACGATTGTGGATACTAACAAACGAAACGTCGTAAAGTAATTTGGCTTGGAATCTCTTAATTTTTTATTTAATTGTTTCTAGTTTTTATTTATATTTTATTCTACTGTAATTTCAGTTCAAAGTTTTTTGCCTAATATAATTGTTATTTTCAGCTATTTTTTTTATTTTTCATTTGCAGTGGTTCTTTCAGGGATTTCTAATCATTTTATATAATTAGACAATGGAAGTCCTAACTAATGAAATTCATCATGACGTTAAATTAGTTCTATAAATGAGGTATGTCATCTAGTCTATTCATAGATAAATGTCTTTGATAATAGAGAATAAAAAATTGATTTGAATTGTAATGGTTTTTGCAATCTTAAAGTCATCGAAAGAACTTATCAGTGGTGCACCTCAAGGTGGTATATTGAGAACAATTTCATTCATGATATTTTTAGAAAAAGGAAAGAAATGCGGTAATGCGGCAGAATAATTTTCCAAAATGATTTGAAATTGATATTGTTGCTTTCAATGATAGATAACATACTTGAAAAGACTAATGAAATGATTGAACAAGTGAAACTTTTAAATATCTGGAGATTTTTATTGATAATCATCTCTCTTAATCCCATCAGGTGGACGGAATATTGCAAATAAATATCAGTTCATTCTGTTATTATTTGGCAGCTAGATAAATTAAAATAAAATGCTGTAGTACCTATTCGTGATTAAAACAAGATATTTTGAAGATACCATGAACTTTCTCTTGCAGATCATTTCTCCTCAGAGACATATTCTCTCATCTCCGTATTATCATTTTCGCCTCATTTATGCAAGCGAAAAATATCTCGAATTAGTCTACACCTGGATTTGAAGGTTGACCTCAATTTAAGCTTACACAAGCAATCGTTTAAAATTATACCAATCAAGCTATACAAAGTGCATTTCTATGTCAAAGCTATTATACGAGGTTTTATGTCTGACGTTTCGTTTACGTCTACGGTAGACACTAGAAGAAGCTTTATTGTCCTCACAGTGCTAACGACATGCTGATATGTAACTAATCAACTAACTAATCAAAATATTGAATCAATAGATTTGATGTTATTTTTTCATAATAATCGAATAAGGAAATTTTGTCTATTTGCTTATATCTTTTTTCAAACTATTTTTCAATCATGATGTCAGCTGCTGTATCTACTTTGTTTTTATCAGTCCTGATTTCATCAATTTTTTATTTGACATCTTTAGACTTGAGAAGATTGAAAACTACTATCTATACCTACTATAACGATTGACTATAATTTCACTTCCAGAAAATAACATTTTTGAGAATGAAACCCTTATGTACAGACTTCAAAAGTCCGTACATAAGGCGTTATAAGATAGTGATTTTCATTCAGAAGGAGAAACCAAAACTGTTTACCGAAGTCTAGGCATCAAAAATGCAATACGAAGATCTGAACTTCCAAGCCAATGGAGTGGTTATGGTAGGATGACATCATAACACAGACTGGATGATTCCCTTGTGTGAAAACGGCAACACGACGTGATCTTGTTATTACCCTCGGAATAACTGCCTACTCCGTATTTTCGATTACAATGGGAACTTTCTCCTCTACGTTAGGGAGGTACATATTTCTGAATTTTGGCAGATGATATCTTTGGAAATTTCCAAGGTTATGGTCGTGAAAGTTCAAATGTGAAGTGTTTTTCACTCTTTCAGTTTGTTTTTTTTTCTGGTTGATTCGGCCGTTACTTGATGAAGATCTATAGTAATTTAATAAACTACACCTCACGATTTGATTTTCACAAAAAATCTATTTAAAATCTGTTTTTCCGTTAACCAGCTGTCGCACCCCTACGAACGAACACCCTTAGAAGTCGAAACTTGTGCGAGCTAAGGATTAACGAGGTCTTACCTTTTAACGTGTGATTCCTAACACGGGTTGGACGATAGCAAGTGAAAATCGATCGTTCAGACTAGGACTTGAACCACCGACCAACACGGCAGTGACTGAACAAAGCACCCACGTCGAACCGCCTGGCTACCGACCTGGAGATCAAATCGTGTGGTGTAGTTTAGGAAATTTAGTTTGTTTGTCAAACTTTTTGGTATTCTATCTGAAATGCATCCTTCATTGTAAAAAAAGTTTTGCGCGTTTTGAATTTTGTATTACCAATATAATAAATATATAATACCAATTATAATAAGCAAAAACCCTAAAATGAAATAATAGTGAAATAAAATACAAGTAAAAATAAAACAATTGAACAAAAATTAAAAATAAAGAAATACAAAATGAAAATAAAGAGAAAAGTGAAAAAGTTAAGAGATTTCAAGCCAAGTTAGTTCACGACGTTTCGATTGTTAGTATCCACAATCGTCTTCGGGTGATGACTGGACTGATTCCTCCGATTCCCCGCTTTCCATTTTTTCCGCTTTACTGGTTCAGTAGGAGGTGACCGTTTGGCGGGAGTTGGCCATTTTTCGCTTGATGATGGGTTTCCATATGTTGCGTACTTCTACGCTGGCTTGGCTGAATACGTAGTTGGACAACATGTATGCGGCTTCCTTGAATTTTCTCCTAAGCTAATGTTCCTCTCTGTGTAAGATCTCAGCATGGACCACTCGATGTTGTGTTAATGGGTTCAAACATGGTCTGTTATTCCTGATTTGCTGGTTTCCCCTCGCTGTGTGTGTTTTTTGTGCTCGGCAATGGAAACATTCAATGGCTCTTAGTTTCACCAATATAGGATGTGTATTTCATTCTGTCTAAAGTTGAAAACTGGGAGGAATTCAAAAGAGAACTTCACAGAAGAGACAGTTCAAATCAATAATAAACTTTCTCTTTTGCTTTCAAATTTGTATACGTCCTTCCTTTTGAAGGAATAAAACAAAAACTGGAGATGCATTTTTCTCAATTCTTGACTTTTGCAACCTGCCAATTGCTAGTAATTTTATGAAATTGAGGAATCTAAAAACGTCTGGTTAGAATCACTACTGGCGAATATTTTGACGATTGAGGAATATACATTGTTTCCGAATACACATATCCATGGCCAGAAATAATAAAAATGATCAGTTGGTTGTAATATCAAAGTGTTTCTCAAAACGCAATATTTCACCCGAAAAAAAAGCTCAGAACTTTATAATACAGGGTTTTTCCTAACTACGGTACGAAACTTTAGAGGGTGATTCGTTAGGTCCTTTCAAGAAAAAAGTTCTTATGAACATATGTCGGTTTTTTACGAGAAAAAAATTGAAGCCACTTTGCATATCATGAACACCAGCTTGGGAGACAGCTGACAGTGATAATGTTCTCATATCAGTGGAAGTCAGAGTTTTCAATTAGCAGTGATTCCATCATGAATAATTTTAGTAATGCTAAAATGGCTGACACGTACTTTATTTATGGATTAGCATTTTTTTAAAACTTCAACGCCCTCAATCTCAAAAACAAAGCTACTCCGGACATAAGCTCATAGAAACTTTTTTCCTAAAACAACCTAAGGAATCACCATCTGAATTTTTTTACCGAAATTAGGAAACATACTGTTTACCAAACTTTATTCTCATCAACATTGTTCAATACTATATGGTTGATGTATATGCTATGATGTAAGGTTCATCTGGAATTGTACATTTCTTCCGTCGTTAGTCTTTTCCACCTTTTTTATTGATGCAGGTGCTTGCTCACTACCTATTTGAATGAATGTTCAAACTAATATCCGTCTGCGTCCATACAAAAAGAAAGATTTTATTCAAAACCTTCTCACACGTCATTCATCTCCACTGGTCGATTACTTTTTGACGAAAATTTTCCAAAGACTCTAGTCGTCCTGTGTGAATTTCAACTTTCAGTAATCCCACATATGGAAATCATGGAGTAACAAATCTGGTGACCGTGGAGGCAATTTTATGGTTCATCTTCACCCGTTTCAATGCTGTGGGAAAAGTTAGGTGAACTCTGGTAAATAATTGAGGTATGAGCGGGGAAACATCGACCTATTGAAACAAAAACGGCAATCATGATTCGGAACTTAGATTGAACATTCAGTGAGTTAAATAGTTGGTTAGCACCTGAATTGAAAATTGGAAGAGTGCTGTCTGTTACTGTCTACAAAATACTACAAACAAACCAGTCACATTGGAAACTTTCGTTCTTGATTCAACTCGTTTTTAATTCAACCGATTATACCAGCCTTTTGCCGTTGCGGAAGCCTGGTTCGAATTATCTTTGTACCGATTCCGTAATCCGAATCATATTTTCCAATTTAATTTCGCAATTGGAGTGTCTCTCCCTTGTTCGGGGATCTCCAGATCCCCCTCATTAGACTATCAGGCGTCGTTATCTTCCACCTCCGACGCATTCTGTGTCTGCTCTAAACTGTTCAAAATGGCGATAAAGTTACGGCGAATGCCTCCTTCACGCGTGTTTATGTATCCTTTCGGCATTCAGTGTTCGTGTTCTCGAGTCTCCTACCTAAGCTTCTAACCCACTTTTGATGGCTGCTTAATCCGGACATTAATCAAAACGTGAATGAGCGGTTTCAATGTTCGTTTCGGGTTAGTGATTCGGAACCTTAATGGTATCGTAAGAAGGCTTGACGTAAGAATCGCAAGAAGAGTGGAGAGGAGTTGAGAATCCATTGTAATCTCTATTATATAGGATGTTTAGAATTTCCACTATAGGGAAAAGGCACAGATTCAAAAATTGGCACATAAATATCAACTCAATCGGCTCAGTTGGAAATTACTTTGAACTTTAGTTTTCATTTCCATGCTTGTATTTTTCCACAAAATATACTCAATATCGAATAAGTAATATATTGATGGAGAATGTCAAAATGTCAAAAAAAATAAAATATATATATCTACAATTGGTCGCTTTAAAAACACTTCAATAACTTTCTTCGAAAGCTTCTGATAATTCCTCTTCCAAATTCTCTGTTTCACTATTACTCATGTCATTCAAATCAATAATGAATTTATTTCCACCATTAATGTGGAAGTGTCCACTCTCCATATAGTCTTTTTCAACTAAAATTGGTTTTTAATCCTTTTCTGCCAGTCTTCTTCGGTAATATTAGATACTTTTTTTTATTAGCTCTGTTACCTTCTTATCAAATTTTTGAAAATCGTTTTTACGCCTGATGCTTTGTGTCAATTTTCCCCAAATCAACTCGATGGGATTGAAAACACAAAAATAGGGAGGAAGTCTCAGTGTGGTGTGTTCATACTTTTCAGTAATACTCTCAAGGGCATACACTTTTTTAAAAGTTTTTGTGTGCAAAACTTCAAGTAGTTGGTTTTTGGTATAGTAATTTGCAAATTACAAATTGATATCCATTAAAAAACTTTGTATTTCCTCTTTCCTCGAATTTTTATTCGGTACTCTGATGAGCTGTCACGAATGATAGGAAGCGTTATCAAGAACTATTACACTATTCGCATCCAAATTTGGGATCAATATGTTTTCATACCATTCC